GCACAAGTGGTCCCTGTGGTAATAGGAACATTGGGGGCTGTGACCCCCAAACTGGGAGAGTGGCTCCAACAGATCCCAGGAACAACATCTGAGATCTCTGTCCAGAAGAGTGCAGTGCTAGGAACAGCTATGATACTGCGCAGGACCCTCAAGCTCCCAGGCCTCTGGTAGAGGACCCGAGCCTATAAGGAAGGAATACAAGACCACTCCAAAGTGGGGGGCAGGTGGGGAATTTTTTTTTTATAAATATAAGTTAGATTACAGTATGTTTAATAGGTAGTACTCAGCATTTACACAAGTAGCTTAATTGTTTGTGTATAGCTACAGTATGTTGTATTTGTTTGTCTGTTTTCTACTCAATGCAGGCCGGGTGGTGATCGTCCAAAGGAGCCTCATGGGGATGGTTTCCCACAATATTTGACTTGACTGGGGTTTTTACGTCCCTGGGGACTAATGGGGGTCATTCATGAATTTCCCTACCAAAATGAGGTTATAAGAAACAAAAATAAAGTTTAAAATTGAGTTGGAGGGTTTTTGCCTGAATTGCAGTGACAGGAAGTGAAAACAGAAAAACTGTGATAAAGAAGATGTGTGCACATTGAAGTTGTTTGTTGTACAGTACTGACACTTGTGAATACTGAAAACTGTGTTGTTAGCTGGCAAGGGGGAAGAGAATCACTATTTCATTTTTGTTAATTTTTATGTTATTTTAATTTTTGTTCATTTTTATGTGTTTATTTGTAGTTTGGTATGAATGGGAAGTCATGTGTTCACTTCATATAGTTAATCTGTTCACTATAGTTAATTACTGCTAAGATATGAGATGTTGGCGCTTTGATTGATCACGTTATGTTTCATTAGAGTATGTGGGACATACAAGTTTACTAAGGAGTTGCTAACTCTAATAGAAATTGCTTTTAGATTTGAATTTAGATGTAAGAAGAGGTTAATGTTTAACTAAAGCTGTTAGAGTTTAGAAGTGTTAAAGGCTCATGTGAACATATTTAGATTTTTCTCTGAGTTTATTGCACTTGTTTGTTTTCTTGCAGAGTGCTGTAGTCTTTAGATTGTGGGAGGAGGGACTGTAGTGGTTAAAACGAGCAAGCTACAATTAAAATGCAATATGTAATATAATACAGTGAGAGTGTGTAGATTACATGTAGTTGCTATATGCAGTAGTCAGTTAATAACTAATTTCTACAAGCCCTTTGTACTATGTCAGCTCATTGGGTAAATAGTTTGTGGAGGAAGCAAGAACATTTTGGGTTCATGGCCTGTTTGTTTAACCCATTGGGACATCTTGATCGGGACGGGACGTGCCTGACTTGACTGTGCTTATGACCTAAAAAAGACTGACTGACTCTGTGACTATCTTCTTGTCTAATACTGCACCCTTTTTCCAGCAGCTCTGTCCCCTATCTCTTAGTCTGTTGAATTCTCTGCCAAACTGTTGATCTGTCTTGAATTATTGTAATATTAAATGATCATTGGCATTTTAGTGATTCGTCTGTGAAGTTAGACTATGAAAGGAAGTGGATATCTGACCATAAACCTGGAGTGGTGAACAACTTCAGGCTAATTTTGCCAACCTCCTGCCGGGGCCATCAGTCTGCCGTCTTGTCTGCAACTAGGTTCTCTGATTTATTTTTACCTTTGGACAGAGCCCGGCTAAATGTTCTCACCTGTTTACTGTCGTACTGTTTAAGTTAGCTGGCCACTGGTGGCAACTTTATATTTAGCATACATACTTGAGAGTAATAGAATCTACTTATCTAACTCTTTGCAACAAAGCAAATAAGAGTTTAATTTATCCCAAAAACTGAACTACTGTTGAGATTGCTGCATATATTAATATAAACAAATTTGGGTATGTTGAAGAAAGCATTTAAGAACACTAGACAAGTACAAAATACTTTATATTTCACTTAAATGAAATATGGTCTTCATTTTAACTGTGGGATAGACCCTCTTGTGGTAATTATATAAAAGTATTACAGACTGACAATTGTCTACATGTACAAAACCCTCCAAAAATAAATAGGAGTGCAGCCTTCATACCTGTCACATATCCATCCCTTGTTGCTCATTGGCCGCTTGCAGTTGCTGCAGTTGATGTGGAGTGTTGTGGACGCCTGGTTCAGGCAGGTGATGGCGCTGCACGTACTCAGCTTGATGACCTCATTGGACACGTTCCACAACTCGAATCGCTGCAGTAGGTCTATGTAGGACATGTACCAGTGCTCCTGAAATGAAAACAATACGTTCAAGGTTTCCTGTCTTCCAACCTGAAACTTCGTAACTGAATTTTAAGATTGTGTTAGTAATGAACGGCCTAAAGTATCCTGGAACTCTGCATCCACATGAATGACAGTCAATAAAGTTACATTTGACCTTAAAATGCTGGAGATTTGTTCAGGAAACCATCCTAACTTGTATTTACAATCACCATGAAGTCATTAAGTCATTCTTTTGACCAAAATAAGCATTTTCTGTGCCTAACAAACTTTTAATTACTTTTAATTACTGCCTCTGCTAACAGTTAAATTGTAGTCCATGAAGAGATTCAAATGCAAACGCTGCAGCAGTAAGCAAGCCAGTGTTTGTTATTTCCAGCTGACCTGAGTGAGGTCATCGATCTCTTTACGAATCCGTTCCCCCAGGACGATAAGCACAGACACAGCCATCTGCACATCGCCCTGCTCTGCGTAGTAGCTCAGCATCTCCCGCGCAATGGGACAGAAAAAGCTCCCGGGCAGGTGGGGGCTGTACAGTGGTTGGGAAATGGAGATGAGAGAAAAGGACTCAATGGGTGTCAGACAAGTGACTTCTGCCTCGTTGCCGCTGACATGTGGCGAGTCGGCCTTGTCCTGCTGTAGGAGCTCTGGAGC